AGAGGGGAGAGGAAAGGGAAAGGAAAGAGAGAGAGAGAGAAAGAGGAAAGAGAGGGAGAGGAAAGAGGCATAAAATAATTCATTTGCATTTAATTGTAATGGTTCAAAGAATGTTTGGAAAAATGTTCGGCCCTCCAGCACGTTCACTTCATCCAATCTGGCCCTCTTTGAAAAAAGTTTGGACACCCCTGGTATAGGGTTTCCTGCCTGAGCAGGGCGTTGGACTAGATGACCTACAAGGTCCCTTCCAACTTTATCATCATCATTATCACTATGAAGTATCAACCAGCTTTGTGACCGTATGGACAAATATAAAGAGCATGTTGCTCTTCTGCAGCTACATAACTGATGCTCTGCAAATGTTTAACATCTTATCTCTTCAATGTTTTTTCCTTCTTTCCACTGTCTAATCCTATTCCAAAACGCCTATATCATTGTTACTGCAAGTGACATCAGTCAGAGATCACAATCCATCCGTTCAAAAGAAACTACTACCACTTTTCAAAAGGAAACCCCATCACTCGCTTGCTTTCCATCCCCCTTGCTCAGAGATGCTGGCCACCCGACTAGATCCGCTGCATATTAAAAAGGAAAAAATGTATAATATCTGCATAACATACAGTAAGGCTTATTATTCATTTCAGATCCATTCCAGCAGTTCAACCCCCATGGTATGGCAAACAGGCAGGTCTATTCCCACGAGTCTTACTTGCTGGCCCACAATACAGAGATCCTTCTATTCCTCCCTTCCCTTTGCACAGTCTGGCGGCCACGCGCGAATTGCCAACTCAACACCAAGTACTGTAATCAACAGCTGAAAAAAGAAAAGGTGCCTATCAAAGTGCCTGATTTTTTTTTTAAAAAAGCGATACGTAAAGAAGCGCGTTCACAAAAGCGTTAATGCCCAATACGTCTCCATAACTACACCCATTTTCGTGGTAGGAAAAAAACCAGAGCGGCAACACGCTAGACGCCACCTTCACTAAAGACCCGTTTCTCACGAAAAGAAAAGGGTGGGAAACGCCTGCTGCGCGTGTTGTCATGGTGACGAAGTAAGATTCCGCCGAGGCCTGTGAAGTCAGAGCGCTACTGCCAGCCGACCGACAGAGGGCAGCATCCGTCGGCGGAGTTGGCATTTTTCTGGAATGAGTCCAGGAGGGGAACGGCCCCCACGCCCCACCCAAGCCGAGCCGGAAATTCAACCATGATGAGGCGGGGCAAGAGGACGTCGAATCCGGTATGCTCAAGAGCGCCCGCCTTACGGCAGAAAGCCGTCTTGATCAAGAAGCCGGAAGCGCCCGTTGACTGTTCTTCGCTTGGCTCTCCAGCCTCCAACGACAACCCGCAGGGCGACTCTTTCCAGCCGCCGGAGAGCAAGCTTCCTCCCTGCAGAGCCGAGGAGCTTCCGCTGCCTCCCTTCCTCTCGGAAAGCGCTGACGGCTGCAGAGATCTAGGCGCCGCTGCTCCGCCGGGCACCATGCTCAACTTCTTCCGATCCATTCCGACGCAGATGGTAAGACGGTGGCGTCCCGGGACAAGCTGCCTCCGTCTCGCCCCCCGCTAGCGCAGGACAGAATTGTGCCGTCCACCCGACTTTCAGGCCGGGCAGGAAGCGGTAAAGCATCCAGGCACCAAATGGGAACTGCCTGGCTGTCTGCGCTGATAAGGAGACGTGTCCTAAATAGAGGCGCCCGAGGGTCCGATGTCTGTAGGTGCCGATTTAGGCGGAAAGATTTTCGGTTCGGAATACAAAACAAAAGGCTCCGTTGTTCCACGTCCTCTGTCCCCCTCCCTGTTTTTGAATTGTTGTCTCGAGTTTCAGTACCTAAATTGTATACTCCAAAATAAGCTTTTGTTTCGGTAGGATTTTATCAGTTGTCTCATAATGTATTTGGTGGATGGCTCTTAGGTAAAACAAAATTAACAATCAGTACCATGCTAAAATCAGTTAAACATATTTAACACAGGATTCTACTTCAAAAAGATAACATCAAACATCGCCCTTGGAAAATATTGAAACGCTAAATTTAAAATATGACATTGATTAAATTTATTAAAGCTGCCTAGAGTAGCCCCACAGCGAGATAGGCAGCAAATAAATTTAACAAATAAATAAAAGACCTAGGTAAATAAGGAGATTCTACATACTACTGACAGAATAGATAAAATAGGTGCTGCTGAACATATTTTCTCCCTCAGAAGTCTCTACTATTTAAAGGGACATTTAGATATGAATAAATTTAATCCCTGTGGTGTGCGAGTGCCAACTCAGTTGGATTTATTGATAAGAGCGTTAAACATCCTAATCTTTTTTGACACTTACCATAAATTGGGCAGACTAGACTTGTTAATTCCTTCTTGTTTTCCAAATTGACTAGACTTGTTCAATTGATTGTTTTATTTGATTATTTATTTGGAGCATTTATATGGCCACTCATATCCGAACAACATGATTCAACATAGGTAGCTTGATTATGTACCATCAAATCATTTTCAACTCCTAGTGATTAGATAGTTAAATGGCTTACAAAAGCATTAACTATGCAGTGTAAAAGTAACATCACTAAAACCAAAAATGTGAACTGGCGAGCAGACTAGAATATATCTTTCCAATGGGCACTGAGCAATATATTTTTCATCTTGACCCAAGAGCCAGGTTTGAATTGCCTTTCTAATGCCCTGTAAGATTCAGTCAAACTGAGAAGGGGAATCATTCCAAAGGCAAGGGCCAACACCAAGAAGGCATGCCTACTAGGTCTCACTAAATGACATTATTGTTATTCTCCATCCAAAGTGTGATATTTTAAAATATTTTAAAAAGTCTGAACACATGAATACCGTTTACATAACGAAGTTGGACAGGGATTGCAGTCCTTCCATACAGAATTTCTATTTTACAATTATCAAGGCTTGTGCTTGTGTTTACATTTATTTCCTTCTTTCCTTTAGGCATTAAATGTTTCTTCCTCTTTCTAGTTCTTATTTAGTGTAATAATACAGAAGTCCCCAACCTTTTGGGCACCAGGGACTGGTTCCATGGAGAAAGGTTGTTCTGCGGACCGGAGAGTGTGTGGTTTTGTGTGCTGCCTGCATCCCACGGATGGGGCTTTGCTTGTTTGTGCGGACTCGTTGCTGACATGCCGCAGCCCGGTACCAGTCCATGGACCGGAGGTTGGGGACCCCTGTAATAACCTATATGGCTTGATTCTAGAGGTGGTTAATTCTTCCTAGAGGGAGGGGGTTGTTTTTCCACCCTTGAAAGTGTCATTGTTTTGCCTCACCTCAAGAAGTCATTGCTGCCAACCTACTTAGACAATTTTCAGACAGTGTCCAACCTTCCCTTTTTAGGGAAGGTTGTTGAGAAGGTGATCATGCAACAGCTTTGGAGGATCTTGGATGAAGTGGTTATTTTAACCCGTTTCAGTTTGTTTCAGGCCTAGATATGAGGCTGAAACAAAATTGTGCATTTAGATGCCTGGAGGTTGGGGAACAGCAGGCTTTAACCCTTGCAAGACTGAGTGGCTTCAGGTTTGGGGGCCTTCAGGATCTGGGAACTTAACATCTTTGGTACTGGATGAGGAGGCATTGCCCCAGAGCCTATGCTCAATCTGGGGTCATTCTAGACTTATTGAGCAGATGGCAGTTGTAGTTAGGAGGGCCTTTGAGCCACTTTGGATTATGCACTATTTGCACCTCTTCCTGGCTTGGGAAGCTCTGCTGTCAAGTCACTCATGCCCTGGATTACTGTAATGCACTCTAAAATGGGCTGCCCTTAAAGAGCACATGAAAGGTGCAACTGGGTGCAAAATGCAGTGATGCAGGAAATTATAGATAGATGTTACCTGATCAGCCATAATCAGCATGTTAAACTACTGCTCCACAAGCTGCAATGGTTAACAGTTTGCTTTTGGGTTCAATTCAAGGTGATGCTAATGAAGACACAGGATAGTTTTTGGAGGGACCACCTTAACTTAACATCTGTCTGCCCCATTATATGTGTTATAGCTTCCCTTTACCAAGGAGTTACATCTGACAAGAACCAGGAGATAAGACTTTTCTGCCATAGCACCCGTGCTTTGGAATGTTATCCCCCCCCCATCCAAGATTTAATTGACCTGAACCTTATTAACTTTCTAGAAAGCCCTGGAGACACAGGCTCTGCTGCCATGTTTGGGGCATGTCCTGTGACAGCATGCAACCTATGCAGTGGTTATGTTGTTCATAAGATGAATGTCATTCTCTTGCAGATTATTTTTTAGAGTTTTAATGGGTTTAATGTTTAATGGTGTTTTAATTATTGTTTTACTATTTGTATTTGTTTTTTGAGTTTTAACTGTGAGCCGCCTAGTCACATGTGCAAGATGTACAAATTGAACAAATAAGTATAAATGAGTGGACCAAAATGAACTAGTCCATTCCCTTCAGTTCTGATTGAATTCCGCTAACTTCAATTAACTAAAATCACACACTGAATCAAACTATGATTTGTTGTGACTATGAATTATTACGTAAGGCACAATGATTAAGTTTACATATTCACATTAAATATTAATAGAATGTGCAAACCTAGCCAGAACACAAGTATCTGAAGAATTTTACAAAATTCTTTGTAGAGAGGTAAAGCAAAATCTTTTTTTCATCCTCTGGTCCTTGTTAGACAAAACTTGACGAACATATTAAACTTTCAAGAAGTGAGCTGACATCACCACTTAGAGGCTATAATAGCTAGCTGTGCCTAAAGATGTCACAAAAGTCAAATGTAAGCTGATGGGTAAATATAGTTAATTTATTTAGCAGACAACAGCAATTAGAAATGAACTGTATTCTGACAGCATTTCTAAATATACTCAACTGTTCTTTCACATTCAGTAGAAATATCTATTTTTAAGAACTCTTCCTCGGGTTTATTTTTAAATGTATTCTCAGCTCTTATTCCTATTACATTATCAGAAATCTTAGTGTAAGCCAGGGGTGTCAAACTGCCAGCCGGCGGGCCGGATACATCACCGGGAAACTGCGCCCACCCATTGCCGGCAATGGGGAAAAAGGCCCAATACGTTGTGCAACGTCACGTGACGTCGCAAGTTTGACATGTCTGGTGTAAGCTGTAATACTTAAGAATGGAGAAAATATTGGTGCTATTTATTTTTATTTTTCCACAGGACTACAAAGGCCAAAAACTAGCGGAGCAGATTTTCCAAGGAGTAATCCTTTTCTCTGCTGTAAGTATAATAAAAACATAGAAAACCGTCACTGTAAATTCATCAGCTTTCCACTTTACCTTCCTGAAAAGATGTTCACAAGAGGTAAAGCATGAGATCCTTGAGAATATTTTATGTGACATATTAGGAAATAAGCAAAACCACTTCCCTTCCCCCTTATTGAAGCAAAATGTTCTGGATTCCAGTCCTTTTTCAAAATAGCTGTCATTGTAGTAGGAACATTCTGGATTAAAATCTATACCTTTCTCAGCATTGTGCCTTGAACTATATAGACTATAAGAGTTTGATGCTTTCTTATGAATTCCCAGTAACTTCCTTAGTTGTTGTATACATTTTAAATTGTTATATTGGATTCGAGAAATAGACTTGAATATCCTTTGTTAAATCTAATTTTTATCTTGTAGGTGGTTGGTTTTATTTATGGATATATTACTGAACAGTTTGGCTGGACAGTTTACATAGTAATGGCTGGATTTGCTATATCGTGCCTGGTAAGAATATAACTTTATAGCAAATATTCATAATATATTCAAAATATCAAGCATTGCAATGGCTGTAGTAAATTGTGCCCATAATGCAAGCACACACCTAAATGATTACAGTAATTATTTTTTCTTTGGCCAATAAATTAACATTGTATTGTATGTTATTCTGTTGTCTTGATATTCCAGTTTTTTGTTGGTTTTGCATTTGGCTTCTATCCTGATCTTCATTTGAAGTAACTACATATAATATGGAAATACTGCTCACCAGATTAGTCTCCTTTGCACCTAATCTTAATTTTCCTAACCAAAAATAAAGCATTTAATAGGAGTCTTGAGTTGTCCTATTTTTTTTTATTACAGCTCACACTGCCTCCATGGCCCATTTACCGTCGCAATCCTCTAAAATGGCTCCCTGTTCAGGAATCTGCAATAGATGATAAGAAACCTGCAGACAGAAAAGTAAAGAGGCATCCTAAAAATTGAAAAACTACATCTTCTGTATGATTTTCTGTCATTAAATTTGCTTTAAAATCGATTACTTCTTCTTTTATTTGGTTTGATATTTCTGCACACAGTTGGAGAATAAATTCTTCCTTTTTATTTAACTCCATCTATGGTATAGTAAACTTGGTGATTTATTAGTATTAAGTAATTTAAATATTGGAATACCTGCATTTAATAGCAGAATTGCTTAACTCACTATAGTTTAGTTCAGCAATCTTTTGTAATACATCCTAGGAGGATTAAGGGAGCCATGGAAATAATTTTGCTATTCCAGCTTTTGTAGCGGTTAAAAGTCTACTATCACTAATCATAGAAATCTCAATTCTAGTCAACAATAAAATAGGCCAATCTCTTTAAACCAGTCTCTTAGACATTATTGCAAAATCATATTATATGACTAATTCTGAATCTGTGTTTAAATGATATTTTAAATAATATGTATGTATTCATTTTCAAAGTAGTCATGTCAATTCCAGCAAAAATAATAACCTTCTGGCACTTTAATAATTAGCACTTATGGGATGAAATTTTAATGGATTATAGTTCACTTTAACAGATGTAATATAGATTAGGCAGAGTTCCAGATCATACCCATGAACACACATAGTAATGATCAGTTGTGATCACTGGGAATAAATATACACAAATCATGCCAGAAATCATAGTAGTATCTAAAAACTACAGTAGCAACTATGTTAGCGTCTCTGAACACCAATTGACATTATTTGCAGTGATCTGCCCTGAGTGAATGAATTTCAAAAAAACCTCCAGCATGAAAGATCTAATTAAATTTGCTATAGCAATCCCATTTTGTCACTTACGACTTGGACCAAAATTATAGGGGCATAGTAGATTATCATACCAAAATGATTCTTTTCAATGATATTTTGATGCTATAACCATTTGGGTTTTACATCATATGTATGACTTGTGTATTTAATTTCCTTTTGATAGGACTCTTCTGCATTCTCTAACCTCCATCATTCATGCATATTTTTCCGGCATCTGAACTGTAATCCATAATCCGCATTCCATGATAAATGCTGGTATTCTGTAAATTGGCAAAGCATTTGTTGCTTTTAAATTTTATTACTGCATGTCCTAAAAATATGAAGAACAACAAAAATAACTCCATCTTCCAGGTTTTGTAGAAAAGTTTATTGATATAACAGCTGAGTTTGTATAATAACTATATTTTGGGGATATAACATCTTCCACTTTGAGAAATGTCTCATCTGGCAGTGTATTTCCATTGGCAGAATGGACAATGGTAGAATTTTCACCCTCTTTCTTTGGTCTCTTAGAAATCTGCTGTGTATCATTAGATTTTCTGTAATATTGGGGATGTGGTAGCAGCATTGGCATCTATGCTCCTTTTCATCAACGAGTATTCTACTCAGTTCTGCTCAATGGATGCTATGACTAATGGAATTAACTCCTGGATCCAATCCATTCAAGGCACCGGGGTGAGGGGGGGAGAGGAAGGGAAAGAGTCCTGCACTGGCTATAATTAGGGCCAGGTATTACTATAAAATATTATTTTTTGCCTTTTGGGCACAGTAGTGTGTTTCTGCTTTTTTACTATTTTCAATATTACATCTACTGATTCAGATTCCTTGGCTGTTCCCTCTACACTCAAAACATAGTCCCATGTAACCTTAAAACTGTTCCCATTTGGTGAAACGATGCTTCCATTTGTGGCTTTTGAACTGGCCTCAGTTTATTTCACATATTATTTAATTTTACTTGATTTAATTAATTATATATTGTTAATAGGTTTTAGAGGGTGTGGTGTCCCATAAGAGTTAGAGTTTGAAATTCAAACTAGGTTTGAATTTCTTGACTGTATAATCAAATTCTAAAGATTTTTTTTATTTTTGCTTGATGCTTAACTTTTCAGTGTAATATAAATAAATGAGAGAATTTTTGCCATTTGATCTCATAAAACTAAAAAATAAGCAAGAAAATATTCAGTAGAAGAAATTACTAATATTTATATCACTTCAATGCCTAAAATCATTCTACTTGATTCCTATGAAATGAATTAGATCATTCAATTAAAATCTGAAATAACCTAATTAAACATCCTATCACAACCAAAAGTTTATTAAAATAGTGCATTATGTTTCAAGCAAAATACTCTAGACTATGGATGTCAAACTTGCCACATCATGTGGTATGTTGCGATGTATCACGATTCTTTTTGCATTGCCGGCAATGGGGTGGGCACAGCTTCGGTATGATGAAACCGACGCTCAATTTATGTGAAAATGATATGTCTCATATATAAAATATGTATTTGTTAGAAAGTACATAAGAAGCCCTACAGAATTTTTTACTTTTTTTAAAAAAATAGTCATACTAATCTATGTATCCAATATTATGTGAATATTGGATAGATTAGTACACCATTATTTTTAAAAAAATACTGGTTTTCAGATACGTTGACAAAGATATAAAAACTTATCTATATTCCAATGAAGAGAATGGTTCATGGTTGAATTCTGGTGTCCCTGGTACTCTCTTGAGCTTATTTGAAGGAAACAAAAGACCTTAATACATCTTCTTCAGCAATCAATACCCAGACAAGCAGGGATTAACACCAGACAAAAAAGCAGAAAACTATCCTAATGAAGGAACTAACAGTGAGAAAACCATATGCCTACTAATACTGGCAAGGCAAGCTACTGTGTATAAACAGGGAGCATACCACATGCTCAACAAACAATTTAGCTAAGAGCATTAAGGTCTTCATATAACCTTATTCTTTTCCTGTACCTATGTTTTGGTGCATCACATCTATGTTCTTTTCCTGAATAGAATTTGTTAGTGTTTTCATTATACCACAACGTTAATTGAAAATTATCCTGCTTTAGTGAAAATTCTATTCTTGGGCTGAAATCAGATATAGTCTAAAATAGCGAATTCCAACACAGTACCATAATAGATTTGACTATATGCAGGACTGCAAATTTTAAATGATTGTTGACATTGAAATAAAAATAATTTAATATGTTTAAAAAAGACAGAATCATTAGAAAGTGCTGCTTGTTGCTAGTATTTATAAAATCCCACTTACCCAAACTTACCTTTAAGCATGTATTGCTGTTTATAAACTAAATACACAATCTACAATAGATAACAAGAAACAATACGGGAAAAGGTTTATCTTCTAAGTGACTGAATGTAAGAAAATTTTAAAAATCCAGTTACAAACTGAGTGTCTTTCTTTCAGGAACAGTTCAACTGAGGTATTTGTTAAAGTTTCACATTATCTTCTAAGAACTTTAAATGACGAGCCTTCATACTATAAGATGTGTACTTTTCTCCCATGAGTTTCCGCAAACATAGCTATTTAAAGGAAGGGAAAAAACATCTTGTAATTCAAACTTGAATAGTACATTTAAGCAAATTATATGCAAAGCTGATCACTATTAAGTCCACAGATAACTAGTGCACATATCTGGGAAATTGCCCAATTAAGAATTCATAGAACACTGAATTTGGTGGCAACACTAAGACATGGTAACAGTGGAGAATATATGCAGCTCAGGGTTGAAATGTTGGTATCTTGGTATTCACTAAGCTTACAAACATTTCATTGCCAAACTAGGTAATATGGGTGCTTTGGCACAAGGGAATTGGATTTGTACCTTGTCCAACCTATCTTGATCTACCTAGTTTGGTTGGCTGTATTGTTTCATCTTAGATTGTTCCTGACTATCTTGCTGAAATAGTTTGTAGATTGGGTTTATTTCTATGAGTCTATTATTTCTGATCTATCAGAATGCCAGCTTTCTAGGAATTCCTTTACATTCTTAGATTTGGCTTGTATTAAAATGATTCATTTCTTGGTTAGATTTTGAACTATTCAAAAAGCAAACAAAGGCCCAAGAAGGAAGCAAACACATAGGCACATCCACCCTTATCTTACTTCTTGCCATCAGCCTATAGATAAGGGAGAAGAAACTCAATACAGGTAGTTTTGACTTGCAACTGTTTAACAATTGAAGTTCAAAGTTATGAAAGCATTGGAAAAAGAGCTTTACAACCTGTACTTGCACTTAGAACCATTGTGCTATCCCCACAGTCACATGATCACAATTTGGTTGCTTAGCAAATGGCTCTCATTTATAACCAGTTGCAGCGCCGTGCAATTACATGACTGAAATACAACATCCTTTCAGGAAGCTGGATTCACTTAACAACTATATGATTTGCTTAAAAACAGTGATGATTCACTTTACAACCATGATAGAAATGTTCATAAAATTGGGTCCAATCATCTGATGACTTATGACTGCACCAACGTCCGACAGAAATTCCAGTCCCACCTGTGGTCATAAGTCAAGAACTATCTCTAGGCAGAAACAATGTAACAATTTAAGTTAAGTAACTAGTTTTATTACTTCAGTGAGATTTAATTATGAATTAATTATCTGCATTAGCTGCAATCTTATTTCCACAACTTACAAATTGCCTGAATTTATGCAAACAAATAAATGGCTGGAATTTCTGAGAAAATTCCCACTTTAGCTGTTCTGAAACTTCTACTATATTTTCTTTTTTTAGAATGCTAAAATATCAAAAAGAAATGTATACATTTGTTCTGTCAAAAAAACATACTTCTCTTTTCTGTTCATCCTCTTCCTCCATGGCATCGTAAACTTTTTCTAGCAGCTTTACCCCAATTCCTTGAACTACATCTGCTCTTAAAATCTCAACCAATCTCCTAATATTCTGGGGACCAGATTTGTCATCTAATAAAATAAAAATAAAATACATTATTTTTTGGATTTGATTTCTGGTAACTAAATAAAGCTAATTATAATTGCAGAGATCAAGTGTAACATTTTCATTTTAATTCAGATCAATATTCCCTGGAGATTCTCAGATTTTATTCAGAATTCTATTCTAAATAATCAGAATTAGTGCTTTTATTATTTCTGCAGATGGAATAGGTTAACTGAACCTTTAAAATTGGGAGTTAACTTTCTTCTGACTTAATATTAATGTTTTTGTTACTAGAGCAGAAAATCTAATTTGAATATCACAAGTTTCAAGCATAACATACAGACCTGAAGGAAACTCTTGAAACTGAAATTCATCAGGTTCTTCAGCTGCTTTCCCATGTAATATCAGTGTATCTCTATATTTCCTATTTAGTCTGAATTGTGAGTCAGGTGTTGACATTGCAAATTGTGAATAATTTTCAATATTATCCATTTTTAGTGTTTGTGTCATCAACTGTAGCAAGTCATTCATTTCATTACTTTTTCTGCAAAACAAGAAAATATTTCAGAATATACCAAACCGTATACAATTCGAGAATTTTAATGGTGAGCTATCTGAACTTAGTACACAGAACTGTGTAAAGTATGGCTTAGGTCTTATTTTCCATAAGGGTTTTGTCATTTTTCTCTTCTTGCTCCAGAATGAGGAAGGGGCTGGAAATAAACCAAGAGCGAGCAAGACAAGAATCAAAGACTTCACAAAATCATACTGGTTGTCATCAACTTACAACTGGGCCTGGAATTTCAGCCATACAGTGTTGTGGTCATAGGTCGAAGCACCATGTGATAGGACTCAATTTTACAACTGTTTTTATGACAGTCATAAAGCAAGTCATCGTGGTCATTAAACCAATTACATAGCTGTTAAGTAAATCATGCTGGAATCCAGCAAAAATGTTACAAATCATGGTCATGTGGCTGCAGGATGCAACAACCGATTGTAAATGAGAGCTGATTGCCAAGCATCCGAACTGCAATCACATGACGGGGGGGGCACGGCAGTCTTAACTTCGAGAATGGGTCATAAGGAGCTTAACTGAACGGTTGTTAAATAACCGAAGCTAAATCGAGGATTGCCTCTAGTTTCGTGGCCTGAGAGTAATAAACTATTACCATGAAGTAGAGAGGGATGAATACACTCCCATACATGCAGATGGCATATGAACTATACATATACTGGGTTTANTGGTCTCTTATAAATCTGCTGTGTATCATTAGATTTTCTGTAATATTGGGGATGTGGTAGCAGCATTGGCATCTATGCTCCTTTTCATCAACGAGTATTCTACTCAGTTCTGCTCAATGGATGCCATGACTAATGGAATTAACTCCTGGATCCAATCCATTCAAGGCACCGGGGTGGGGGGGGGGGGGGGGGGGGGGGGGGGGGGGGGGGGGGGGGAGAGGAAGGGAAAGAGTCCTGCATTGGCTATAATTAGGGCCAGGTATTACTATAAAATATTATTTTTTGCCTTTTGGGCACAGTAGTGTGTTTCTGCTTTTTTACTATTTTCAATGTTACATCTACTAATTCAGATTCCTTGGCTGTTCCCTCTACACTCAAAACATAGTCCCATTTAACCTTAAAACTGTTCCCATTTGGTGAAACGATGCTTCCATTTGTGGCTTTTGAACTGGCCTCAGTTTATTTCACATATTATTTAATTTTACTTGATTTAATTAATTATATATTGTTAATAGGTTTTAGAGGGTGTGGTGTCCCATAAGAGTTAGAGTTTGAAATTCAAACTAGCTTTGAATTTCTTGACTGTATAATCAAATTTTAAAGATATTTTTTTATTTTTGCTTGATGCTTAGCTTTTCAGTGTAATATAAATAAATGAGAGAGTTTTTGCCATTTGATCTCATAAAACTAAAAAATAAGCAAGAAAATATTCAGTAGAAGAAATTACTAATATTTATATCATTTCAAAGCCTAAAATCATTCTACTTGATTCCTATGAAATGAATTAGATCATTCAATTAAAATCTGAAATAACCTAATTAAACACATCCTATCACAACCGAAAGTTTATTAAAATAGTGCATTATGTTTCAAGCAAAATACTCTAGACTATGGATGTCAAACTTGCCACGTCATGTGGTGTGTTGCGATGTATCACGATTCTTTTTGCATTGCCGGCAATGGGGTGGGCACAGCTTCGGTATGATGAAACCGGCCTGTGGGCCGCCAGTTTGACACCCCTGCTCTAGACGCTCAATTTATGTGAAAATGATATGTCTCATATATAAAATATGTATTTGTTAGAAAGTACATAAGAAGCCCTACAGAATTTTTTACTTTTTTTAAAAAAATAGTCATACTAATCTATGTATCCAATATTATGTGAATATTGGATAGATTAGTACACCATTATTTTTAAAAAAATACTGGTTTTCAGATACGTTGACAAAGATATAAAAACTTATCTATATTCCAATGAAGAGAATGGTTCATGGTTGAATTCTGGTGTCCCTGGTACTCTCTTGAGCTTATTTGAAGGAAACAAAAGACCTTAATACATCTTCTTCAACAATCAATACCCAGACAAGCAGGGATTAACACCAGACAAAAAAGCAGAAAACTATCCTAAAGAAGGAACTAACAGTGAGAAAACCATATGCCTACTAATACTGGCAAGGCAAGCTACTGTGTATAAACAGGGAGCATACCACATGCTCAACAAACAATTTAGCTAAGAGCATTAAGGTCTTCATATAACCTTATTCTTTTCCTGTACCTATGTTTTGGTGCATCACATCTATGTTCTTTTCCTGAATAGAATTTGTTAGTGTTTTCATTATACCACAACATTAATTGAAAATTATCCTGCTTTAGTGAAAATTCTATTCTTGGGCTGAAATCAGATATAGTCTAAAATAGCGAATTCCAACACAGTACCATAATAGTACTATATGCAGGACTGCAAATTTTAAATGATTGTTGACATTGAAATAAAAATAATTTAATATGTTTAAAAAAGACAGAATCATTAGAAAGTGCTGCTTGTTGCTAGTATTTATAAAATCCCACTTACCCAAACTTACCTTTAAGCATGTATTGCTGTTTATAAACTAAATACACAATCTACAATAGATAACAAGAAACAATACGGGAAAAGGTTTATCTTCTAAGTGACTGAATCTAAGAAAATTTTAAAAATCCAGTTACAAACTGAGTGTCTTTCTTTCAGGAACAGTTCAACTGAGGTATTTGTCAAAGTTTCACATTATCTTCTAAGAACTTTAAATGACGAGCCTTCATACTATAAGATGTGTACTTTTCTCCCATGAGTTTCCGCAAACATAGCTATTTAAAGGAAGGGAAAAAACATCTTGTAATTCAAACTTGAATAGTACATTTAAGCAAATTATATGCAAAGCTGATCACTATTAAGTCCACAGATAACTAGTGCACATATCTGGGAAATTGCCCAATTAAGAATTCATAGAACACTGAATTTGGTGGCAACACTAAGACATGGTAACAGTGGAGAATATATGCAGCTCAGGGTTGAAATGTTGGTATCTTGGTATTCACTAAGCTTACAAACATTTCATTGCCAAACAAGGTAATATGGGTGCTTTGGCACAAGGGAATTGGATTTGTACCTTGTCCGACCTATCTTGATCTACCTAGTTTGGTTGGCTGTATTGTTTCATCTTAGATTGTTCCTGACTATCTTGCTGAAATAGTTTGTAGATTGGGTTTATTTCTATGAGTCTATTATTTCTGATCTATCAGAATGCCAGTTTTCTAGGAATTCCTTTACATTCTTAGATTTGGCTTGTATTAAAATGATTCATTTCTTGGTTAGATTTTGAACTATTCAAAAAGCAAACAAAGGCCCAAGAAGGAAGCAAACACATAGGCACATCCACCCTTATCTTACTTCTTGCCATCAGCCTATAGATAAGGGAGAAGAAACTCAATACAGGTAGTTTTGACTTGCAACTGTTTAACAATTGAAGTTCAAAGTTATGAAAGCATTGGAAAAAGAGCTTTACAACCTGTACTTGCACTTAGAACCATTGTGCTATCCCCACAGTCACATGATCACAATTTGGTTGCTTAGCAAATGGCTCTCATTTATAACCAGTTGCAGCGCCGTGCAATTACATGATTGAAATACAACATCCTTTCAGGAAGCTGGATTCACTTAACAACTACATGATTTGCTTAAAAACAGTGATGATCCACTTTACAACCATGATAGAAATGTTCATAAAATTGGGTCCAATCATCTGATGGCTTATGACTGCACCAACGTCCGACAGAAATTCCAGTCCCACCTGTGGTCATAAGTCAAGAACTATCTCTAGGCAGAAACAATGTAACAATTTAAGTTAAGTAACTAGTTTTATTACTTCAGTGAGATTTAATTATGAATTAATTATCTGCATTAGCTGCAATCTTATTTCCACAACTTACAAGTTGCCTGAATTTATGCAAACAAATAAATGGCTGGAATTTCTGAGAAAATTCCCACTTTAGCTGTTCTGAAACTTCTACTATATTTTCTTTTTTTAAAATGCTAAAATATCAAAAAAAAAATGTACACATTTGTTCTGTCAAAAAAACATACTTCTCTTTTCTGTTCATCCTCTTCCTCCATGGCATCGTAAACTTTTTCTAGCAGCTTTACCCCAATTCCTTGAACTACATCTGCTCTTAAAATCTCAACCAATCTCCTAATATTCTGGGGACCAGATTTGTCATCTAATAAAATAAAAATAAAATACATTATTTTTTGGATTTGATTTCTGGTAACTAAATAAAGCCAATTATAATTGCAGAGATGATGTGTAACATTTTCATTTTAATTCAGATCAATATTCCCTGGAGATTCTCAGATTTTATTCAGAATTCTATTCTAAATAATCAGAATTAGTGCTTTTATTATTTCTGCAGATGGAATAGGTTATCAGTGGTTCTCAACCTGTGGGTCGGGACCCCATTTGGGGTCGATCGACATTTCACGGGGGTCGCCAAGCAAGGCTGTCCGCCATTTTTTTGTCCGCCATTTTTCCCCCCTTTCCGGCGGGTGCCTTACCTCCCTTGGGCTGGGCCAGCTGGTGGTCGGCCTGCTCCGTCTCTGCCGCTTGCCAGCTACGCCTCGGCCGGCGCAGGGGGCGGAACCACGCATGCGCGGCACTCCCGGGCAGGGAAAGTCCTCGACTTACAACCGGTTGGGTAGTCCTCGACTTACGACCGGTTGGGTAGTCCTCAACTTACAACCGGTTGGGTAGTCCTCGACTTACGACTGGTTTAGTCCTCGACTTACGACCGGCTTAGTCCTTGACTTACGACCGGTTGGGGTCGCGGCATTAAAAAGGTTGAGAACCACTGGGTTAACTGAACCTTTAAAAATGGGAATTGCTTTTCTTCTGACTTAATATTAATGTTTTTGTTACTAGAGCAGGAAATCTAATTTGAATATCACAAGTTTCAAGCATAACATACAGACCTGAAGGAAACTCTTGAAACTGAAATTCATCAGGTTCTTCAGCTGCTTTCCCATGTAAGATCAGTGTATCTCTATATTTCCTATTTAGTCTGAATTGTGAGTCAGGTGTTGACATTGCAAATTGTGAGTAATTTTCAATATTATCCATTTTTAGTGTTTGTGTCATCAACTGTAGCAAGTCATTCATTTCATTACTTTTTCTGCAAAACAAGAAAATATTTCAGCATATACCAAACCATACACAATTCGAGAATTTTAATGGTGAACTATCTGAACTTAGTACACAGAACTGTGTAAAGTATGGCTTAGGTCTTATTTTCCATAAGGGTTTTGTCATTTTTCTCTTCTTGCTCCAGAATGAGGAAGGGGCTGGAAATAAACCAAGAGCGAGCAAGACAAGAATCAAAGACTTCACAAAATCATACTGGTTGTCATCAACTTACAACTGGGCCTGGAATTTCAGCCATACAGTGTTGTGGTCATAGGTCGAAGCACCATGTGATAGGACTCAATTTTACAACTGTTTTTATGACAGTCATAAAGCAAGTCATCGTGGTCATTAAACAAATTACATAGCTGTTAAGTAAATCATGCTGGAATCCAGCAAAAATGTTACAAATCATGGTCATGTGGCTGCAGGATGCAACAACCGATTGTAAATGAGAGCTGATTGCCAAGCATCCGAACTGCAATCACATGACGGGGGGGGGGGCACGGCAGTCTTAACTTCGAGAATGGGTCATAAGGAGCTTAACTGAACGGTTGTTAAATAACCGAAGCTAAATCGAGGATTGCCTCTAGTTTCGTGGCCTGAGAGTAATAAACTATTACCATGAAGTAGAGAGGGATGAATACACTCCCATACATGCAGATGGCATATGAACTATACATATACTGGGTTTAGGAATATTTGTCTATTGGCTGGATCAAAGAGACTTTATGCAAAAAACTACAAATTTCCAAATTCTCTTCATAAAATTTTCCAAAGGGGAGAAGGGAAGCTTCAAGTTCAAATTAAGATAATGTGAAAAAGATGCAAAAGATTCTGATTACTGAGATTCTTAACAAAACTATCAATAAAAATCATGTGAATTTGTATTGTGTGAATTTTTACTGCGTTTAAAGAAAGCTACACAGAAAACTCCTTGGCCACAGTTCTTCTAGCATTTTTCTCTTTCAAATATAAGTGGGAATCATGAATTACCATTTCCCAGTTTTAATTTTTTTTGTATGCTGCTTTCAATCCAGTTATTTTAGGTTATACTCTTCTTTTATAAGGAGATCTTAAAATAGTTAATATTGAGGAGGTTTTTATACCAAAGTACAGTGCTTCCTAAACTTGGCTATTGATGAATTTTTATTGGGTCTTGAACTAGGGACATGACTATATCACACGTGCATACAGATACACAAATGCATTCAGTGACTGGTTATGGCTTAATATCCACAATGAACTTATCATACAATACACTAATGGTTTATAAACAACAATAGTTGTATTTATATAATAAACAAACCATATATGTGATTAACATGTGTAAACCAACCTATAATTACGGACAGAAAACACCTACCTTTCTTTATAATCTCCATCTGATTTTTCCGTAGAACTTGTAGAAGAGCTCAGGTCATCCTCAGTACAGCAACCAGTTAAGCTTTTCTTCTGTTGAAGACAGTTTTTCCATGTACAAGAAAACAGAACCATTACAGGCATAATTCAATAGAAAATTCTTTTTCTTGCTTCTCGGTGAAAGAGAAATGTGAATTTAGCTCCATTTAAGGTTCTAATGAAATATTTTTGTAGAGGACAGTACTTGAAAGCACAGCAGATTACAAAATACTTTCAATGATGATAAAAAGTTTCTATAAGCATCCTACAAAAGGACATATCAGAACCACCCTGAGGGGGAACTCCTACATCAGGAAGTCCCCAAAGTCTGTGCCATGAGCTATTTCTGAAAGACCCTCCCACAAAAGGATGCTTTAACCAATACAGAAGAATTAAGTTACTTATATATAGACAAAGGAAGACAAGGATCATGAGGCAGTCCTTAGAATAACAGCATCCCTGTGAGATGTGTTGGGCTCAGAGAATCACTTAACTGATTTTCATGTCTACTGGAGGCCTAGTAAAGTAAGTCACAGTTTCCCACGAAGGAGACATATTTTATATTTTTGCAAGCTAGTTTGATCCATCAGGAAAGTATGATCATTGAGGATTTGTGATCCAAATAAGGCTATTGAGTAGAAATCTGTTCTACTCAAGTATATCTTTGATGACTTGTCTAATATTTCTTTTATAACTTGTCTAATATCTCTGGCGCACCATTCCTCTTCTCTTCAGACAAAAGGTAGGAAATACCACTTCCTGGCCCTGTGGAAAACCAAATTTATTTGAATATAAATGTTTTGTGATGGGGTGGTGGTGGAGGATTTACCAGGAGGCTAACAATGGGCCTCCTAAAATGCTTAAGATTTGTTCAAGTGCTCCAGGATTCATAGTCCATTCACCAAGATCCTGGTCCTCAACTGAGCCAATCTCCAGATGTGTTGTGGATCAAACATATTTTGCCATGAAAGATAGCACCCTGTATTCAACCCGACAAGAGGTTTGGCTGCTTCTTTCATCAGCTATCTCTCTTTTTTTAATATTGACTATGGGAGTCATTTTATACATTAGCAAAAGTTTTAAAAGAAGGTCAAAGCTGGTTATGCTGAGGGCACAAAAGATTCATATTGCATTTTATTGCTTCTTCTAGTCAGACACCCTGAATTACTTAGCCCAGACAATTCATTCTGGACTCTTAATATAGTTTTTGTTCTCTGTAGTGGGGTTTGGAGAGGAGGCATCAGGAAGAGGAGGAAAGGAGGATGGGAATTCAGGATCAATTCTGCTTCCTCCTACCCCGTTTTCCAAAATGACCATGCCAGCTGGAGAATTTCAAGATGACATTTCCCACCTTCCCCCGAGGTACACTGTCTGTAGAAACAGCTCAAGCGAATAAGGCTATGGATCAATAATGAATCAGTGACAAATCCCAGATGAATCTGGCATGTGGAATAACACATGGTTTTCAGGGAGCTAATTTAGGTGGCAGAGCCAGCTGAAGAAGTCAAGCACTTCTATTCTGTCAGCGAAGAATTTGGATGTCCAATGCTGCCCCTCCTGTGCCACTGGACTCTGTGGAAAAGCAGTTATAGGTCCGCAAGAGGGTGTGAGTGGATGCAGCTCATGATCAGCTCATGAACACCTGCAGAGTTAATCATATTCTCTGGCAAAATGTGAGATGCACCTGTCATGTTGCTGAGGTTGGTGCTCTTGCTTGGAACTGAGAAAGTACTACCCCCTCCCCCCAAAAAAGCTGTGTTACAACAATTCTAAGCCCTGTCTTCAAACTTAAGGGGAGGGAGATATTCACCATAGGTTGCCCCGCCTCTGCTGTAAAAAGATGGCAGTAAGATTTTCCAATATAGTCCTCTCTCTTCAGAGGCATGATATAAGCAATACAGCAGAAATCATAGATGTAATAATGTAAGTAGTAGAAATTCCATGTATTGACGGCAGACACATCCCCTTTTTAATATTCTGCAATATTGTAAATTGTTTTTTGATGTACTATACTTAACATATGACAACTACTTACCTTATCGGTGCTGGGTTCTGAGGTAAATTGAGCAATCTGAATACAACGGTCTTCCCTTGGATGTTTTGTTTCTGTTGATGCATTATAAGACATTCGTCTTACAGAAGGCTCTGAAAAGGAACAATGAAAAGTATGTATGGTTTATTCTTATTTTACTTCGTACATGCACTAATTATGAAAGCAAGCTCAAAAACCTGACAAACTAAAATAGGCCTTTCTTCAGTTCAGTTTAACATTCATCCATGTATGAGATTTTTATCCTGCCTTTCCTCCAGGAATTCAAAGCAGTGTACAATCTTTTTTTTTTCTCCTACAGGTAGGTTGGACTGAAAAATTTGACTATCTCAATGTCACCTATTGAGTTTGAATGGCTGGAAGAGGATTTGAACTGGGGTCCACTCAATGATATTTTAATCATTACAGCTTAATCCCTTCCACCCTATTGTTTATACTTTTCCAACAGCCATGAAGGGGTAGTTTCCAATTCATATAGTAGTTGATATGATCATTATGGCCAGCCACAAAGTATGCGTTTCCCAGAAAGCAAATTCATAAAGGGGAAATGAAGGGAATTTGTCAAAAACCTCAGTACCAAAGACAACAGATCCAACACACCAATTCATTGTTCAAAGACATGCCTATTTCCAGTCAGCAGATTACGAAGGCTAATACAGTAGGTAAAGCAGCCAGGAAACTAAAAGTAGAGTCGGTGCCTTGTGTCCCTCTCACTATTATAATACAACAGAATATTCATGTTACACAGGACAAACTGAAGAAGCCTACAAAGAGACCAAATACAGCACTAAGATGAAACAAATGAATTTACACAGAAACATCCACATTAAGGAAAAACACAGCAGAAATAAGAGATTGCCCCATCATTTCTCATACTCTCCATGCAATAAGATATTTCCTGCCACATTTTTACACTCAAAGATGCTCCTTCCTGTTTCACTGGGTGCCTTTTTTTCCTCCCCTCTGGGCAGCGGTGAATCTTTTAAAAACATTAAGTGTAACTATCCAATGTTTTTATTTTCCAAAACGTCAGCATGTCAGATTCCCATTTAAGTTTTCAGTTAAATTAAACCATCTTAAAAAATAACTTCAGGAGTCAGAAAGAGCACAAGAGGTGTCAAGAAATTTGTTTTTTGCTGTTACAGTAAGGCCCCTTTAAGAGAAAAGTATTACGAAAATTTGTAAAGGATAAGGTGTGTGTATCTATGTGAATATAAGTAAGTAAAATGTAAAGGGAAGGAGGCAAAAAAACCCTTAACATGAGACAAACAATCAAGCAATAAACAAAAGCCTAATCAAGGAGCTGCCAAGGAAAAAAACAAAAACCTCACCAACAATGACAGAGCAAGCTATTTTATAAAAACAGAGAGCAAACCCCATTCCCTTCTAGCACTGAAAATGTTACCTAGTTGACTCCAAGCCAACAACCAAGCTCAGAGAGCCCCAAGGACTTCACAGCAAAGAAAACTATTACCAGAAGAAAGCATATCTTCTTGGGATTGCTTTAATCTTCTCCTTTCTCGAGCTGATAATGGCCGATCCTTTGAAAGGAGAAAAAGTAAAAACAGTATTTATTGACTATATATGGCACTGATACACCTTATTAAAAGAAATTAAAATTTTACAACTAAGTGATAGGTCATTTGACATTTCTTTTTATTTATTCTACAAAACTCATGAAGCCGCTTTGGGAAAGAACTACACTGCTCTATTACTCTCTAATCCTATTTTAAATATTTCTACATAGTTCTGGCAATGTTACATCTAATTGACATATAAAATGAGAATATCCAAATTTAGTAATTTCTAAAATGGACATGTTGGCACAAACCTTGGAATGTTCCACTTCAAAGCTTTTTGACTTTTTCAGAACATTTGCAGCACGCTGATGGTCTGTGTTAACTTCTTTTGTCTTTACATTCACATCAGGATAAGCGGGCAGTTGCCGATGACCAAGTGCTGCAATCTTAACAGGAGAAATAGCAACTTTATAAAAGGTACAGTATGAGAGTTGCATTCACTCACGAATGTGTGGAAGGATTCTACAAGGGCAGGGCTGGTGAGTGTGCTGGTAGTGCTGAATGGCAGCCTTCAGTAACCCATTCAACAGAACAGAATGTTCCTAGTAATATTTCAGTAACATCTGGAGCACCACAGGCTATCCAGCCATGGATGAAGTTCATTCCCAACTTATTAATATTCAAAAAGCACTTCATTTCATTTTTTCCACAGATAAAATAGAATATCATATATCCCAGACAACATATTATACATTTATCATTCCAGTAAAGGCAGATGTTTGTAGCATATATGCTGCAAACTAACATCAGCTTTTATACTGAAATGTGCTAACCTATAAAACAAAGCTTTTTTAACTGAACTTTAAATTGAATATCCTTGGTTAACGTAAAATAGCAATGGCAATAGCACTTAGACTTATGTATTGCTTCACAGTGCTTTACGGCCCTCTCTAAGCGGTTTACAGAGTCAGCATATTGCCCCCAACAATCTGGGTCCTTATTTTACCAACCTCGGAAGGATGAAAGACTGAGTCAACCTTGAGCCAAACTGCTGTCAGCTGGCAATCAGCAGAAATAGCCTGCAGTACTGCAGTCTAACCACCACACCACCAGGGCTCTATATCTATAAAAACTAATGGTAGTTGGGGTTGTTTTTTTAGTTTTAAACGAGTTAAACAATTGTTCTAGTATCTCGGATGCTTCAAAAGCTGAAAATGCTGCTGGTCAAAACTATATTGTTGCAACTGTAAATATTGCCTCTGAGTTATCAATTTGTCTAAAGAATATCCCTACTTTCACCCAATTTTTTTTATATGACTATTTTTTCCAATTTTTAATGTTGGATTTCCCCATATTTAGCATGGGAAAAAGTACTGAATCTTTTTTTACTGAACATTCCATTTCATAGCTTTCTAACCAATAAAATTGTTTCCAGAGATATAGGTATTGTACTCAATTTAGATCCCAATACTGTCCTAATCTTTACCTTGTCTAAGCAGATCTCAGACTGCTTCTTATGTCGTCGCTGTCGTGACAAGGAAGGCTCTTGAACTGATCCTTGAGGCCGAAAACAAGGAGTGCTTATAGGCAGAATGAGATCTTTAGCTTCTTCTGAGTTTCCACAGGAAGCTTCATTCTACAAATATATATACATACTTTACAATACTTGAATTCACGCTTTCCAGAATCAAGTATGTACACTTAGTTCAAAAGTGTTAATAGAAAGCCAAAATTATTTTTATTTTAATCAAAATTAAATTCACTTAAGTATTTGAAGAAAATCCTGTCATCTTACTTTAAAATAAATCACTGACATAATTATATTTGTGTCGCAGACTACAAAATTCAAATACTTACCCAAATTTCTATAGGAATAGTTGGTACTAGCAGTTTCTCAGTACAGTCCAGACTCTGGAAAGAGAGTCTGCTGTATTTTCATGAATACCGTCTATTATATTAAATAGAATGTGATATAAGTATTAAAAACTGAAAGAGCAATACCTCCATTATTGAAGGGAGTAAAAGAACTATTAGCTAGGCACTAAACACAACAGCTGGAGGCTGAGACTAATACTTTATCATTTACCTAAGCCTAAACTAGTAAACTAGTAAGTAAAAAAATGACAAACCACCCTAGAAGATGACAAAGATAAACTTTTTTTGTAATATTGCAAGGAAAACTACTATATGTGGATGTCCTATATGGTATGTTCTAGTCTAACTTACTTCTGATTAATTCCAGCAAATCTTCCAAGATCTGGAAGGGCTGTTGTGGTTGTAGGAAAAATAGGAGAGGAAAGAGTATTATGCACTGTATATTTATGGACTTTCATTATTTATAAAAATAATCAAGATGGACTAAACATCTAAACATTTAAATAAGGTTTATTTGTTTAAATTCAGTTTGCCTATTTTAGAAAATTATGGAAAGAGATGCAAAGGGATAGGTGAATGCACAATTTTTAGAAAATTTGCAAAGAGATGCAAAGGGATAGGTGAATGCACAATTTGCTAGCTAATAATAATTAGCTATCTTAATAATTCTCAAGTCCTTAGTTAGAGTTGAATTATGAAGTTTCTACTAGTCTTAAATTGGGAATCTAACTGTAGGTTACCCATACATAAACCATAACAATAAAGCAACATTTGCCTATCCCAGGTCCTTGGGAAGGACTCGACTGGGGGATAAAAATACCAAATCCAATCTAAACATCTGGCTGATTGTGTGACAAAACATAATATTTTTAGGCTGCCCACATATTATACAGAAATACATTCCTAAAAAATATGAATCCCAAGCAATGGACACAATTAATAAATATGGTGTTAAGCAATGCTACATTAGCAATGAACCATAAAAAAAATCCAAGACTAGCAAAGCATCAATATGTCGGAGGTTCTGTCTCCCTCAAACACTTTTGTGCTGTAGAAGAAATCTGCACTGCTTTGCCTGAAGAAGAAGAAGAAAAGGAGCTGTTCCAACAGAACAAAACCAACTAATAGCACAGGATAAACTTATGTCCAGAATCAGTTCATGACAGAAGTTTAGCACTAATAATGACTGAAACCGCAGAAACCAGCTTTTCAGAGTCTAGTCACATTTTCAACAGATTTGCAGGTAGTCCTTGACTTACGGTCACAACTGAGCCCAAAGATTTTCTGTTGCTAAGCAAGACAGTTGTTAAGTGACTTTTACCCCACTTTACAACATTTCTTGCCACGGCTGTTAAGTGAATCACTGCAATTGTTAACTTAGTAACACATTTATTAAGTGAGTCTGGCTTCCCCATTGACCTTGCTTGTCAGAAGGTCACAAAAGACTATCACATGATCCCCGGACACCGCAACCATCATAAATACATGCTAGTTACCAAGCATCCAAATTCTGATCACACGAGCATGGGGATGCTGCAACAGTCTCTAAGTGTGAAAAACGGTCATAAGCCACGTTTTTTAGGACCATTGTAATTTTGAACATAAACAAATGACTGTAAGTCAAGGACTGCCTGTACATCTTCTAATTCATTCATATTCACCTACACAAATACATATGTGAAAAAGAAAATAATTACTTTATTGCTTACACGTGGAATCTTTGAACTGGGTTGCAGAACCTTCGTAGTGTCATCACCATTATCGGTCTCCTTGGCATCTACGTTTCCAGTTTTGGGGCAAGGCGTTGTCATTTTCAGTAAACTTTCTTCCTTTAATTCTGGGCTATTTTTTGCTCTTTCAGGCTCTGCTTCATTGGAAATATGTACATTTCTGGATTCTTTATGTTCTGCTGACTGTTTGGTTGCAGAGTTTCTCTTTTCCAGTGGAACAATAAGTATATCTACTTTGCTCATTGTTGCCAAAGAGGCATCCAAGCTATTCAAACCATTTTTGCTGTTTTTTTCAGGTTCAGGTGCTACTTTCTTTGAAGAAGAAACTTCAAATGTTTTATTATTGATTAAACATTTATCTTCATTCTGTAATATTAAAAAGTATAATTAGGTCACCCATTCTATTAAGATAGATTATTTTAAATGTAAGCATAAAATTACAGCAATCTATTTTGATCCGACTTGATCCAGCTATGAGATTTTGCATGGGATGGACTGAGGAAAGACATGGCATGCCTTACTAGAATGGTATTATGCAGGAGTGGCTTAGCCAACAACCACACCCACAAAAGACCTCTTGGTCATATGGGAGGTGCATGAATCATGGAAAAGGTCAGTCATATAGAAGTCAGGCTGTTGGTCTGTTAGATATTTCTTGCAATGGCCTTAGTTGGTCTGGAAGTGGGTTTCCCTGTCCTTATTTACAGGATGCTTTGAAGGCTGTGTAGCTCCAAGACACAAGAAGGTCCAATATCTTCAATCTATGTAGATCCAAGATCTTCAATCAGGTACCTGACCAAACATGCAAAAGATGGGAGGTGGTATTCCAACTTATTAATCTTGTAAGATTATTACAGTATTACTGTAACAATATGTTGTGATGGGGCAGGTATGGGAACTTAAGGCAAGAAGGGTACATTGGAATTACTTATTAATTCCACCTCTCTCCCTGTGTTACCAAGCCATCGCATTTTTGAACATCAGTTCTTTATAGAACTTAATATTTACATCAAGTTTTCCATACTCCCATAAATCACCATTCCAGCTGCAAAAAAGATAGTGTAACATGCACTGTATAAAAAATGGCTGTTCTATCTTCTACTCATTTTGGGTTCTCCAAGGGTTAGTTTTACTACTCTTGAGCAGACCCATGCCTTATAGGGGTAAACAACTTTGTGAAGAACAAGAAGCTCACTTCACTTTTGGGTAGCGTGTCAGGGACTGAATTCTGAAAAGTGAATAGCAGAGGAAAAAGAACTAAGTGGGAACCGAACAAAATTTAAATTTATTTTAAACGGAAGCAGTTAATTCATTAGTCTCCATGGATTTCAGAATTTTCTTCTGTGAAATGTAAATTGCAATTCAGTGGCAATTTCTGTAGGTTTGGTGATACCCAACACTCTAGGGAAGGCATGTCAAACTTGCGACATCATGTGACGTCGCGCGATGTATCGCGACCTTTTTCCCATTGCTGGCAATGGGGTGGGCGCGGTTTCGGCGTGACGCATCCGGCCCACAGGCCAGCAATTTGACATGCCTGTTCTAGGGCAACTGACTATGCACCTCCAATTGAACAGAATTTAAATGGCTATCATTATGAGAAAAAAACAGATAGAAGTACTAAGAATTAATTGGTATTCTTTCTCCTTAATTTGAAACAAAATTTGTATTTCATCAAAGTTGACCATGGGCTTTGTTTCTGTCCCACCTGTTCTGGCTACAGAGCTAAAATAATAACTTGCCCCATTGGACTTCTTTGAAAGTTCATCTGGAAGCTTCTGAGGTACTGTATTTTCTTTCTTTAATTCAGCTTTCTCTGAAGATCCCCGAGGATTGGGTTCAGATATTTTCTTATGATTTTTAGATGTTTTTCTTTAGGGAAAAAGCAAGAAAATATCAGATTTCCAAAATGTAGACATTTCTAAATAATTTTTGCCAAAACATAATTTCTCATATTTCTATGTATAGGTTTACTTTTTCTGAAGTATCACATGCACAGCAATATGGATATTATTTTAGATACAAAACTGCTTCTCAAGTCATAAACATTCATGAAATATGGTTTAATTAGCAACTTTTAAGAATGTATTGGTTAGATCAATAGGACAACTAAATCCAACATCTCAAGAATGGCCAAATGTAAAGTATTACTTCCTATGAAAGATGCCCAACATATGAGATGCATAACGAGCTAATAGAGCAGAAGTTACTGCTAAAGAAGTTATGGCCCTGATCACTATCATCGTTCTCATTTTCTCTGTAGCCTTTGGATTTATCTCCTATGCTGCTGTAGGGGTTTACCCTATTCTGCACTAAACTCAAGGGGCAACAAAATGAAGGTTAACCTCTCTATTTCCTTTCACAGATAAACCCTCCTCCAATATTTAGTTTCTTGAAAACTTTTTATAAAATTGTGAGATATGAAAATATTCTTCATTTTGAAAATAAGTTTTGGTAGATCTTTGCACAAGAAATAATTGAGGACAACACAACATGCAGTAAAAAGTAGCTAAGTGTTTGAAATCATTACGAGCCAATGAACCAACATGATATAGAATCAAACTGATGCTGAAGATATTATAGAGCTGCTGAAATAAACCCAATTACACCTTTTCTTAGGCCTTATGCTATCACTCATTACAACACCGCCTTTTGTTAGAGCTAGCTCTAGTACTGATCCAGTCGGCCTTTGAATTAAACTGAGTTCTGAGAAAGTAATGATCAACTACTAGACCAGACAAATTCCATATAAATAAAATAAAAAAACAAACACTGAGGGATTGACAAGAGTCCCAAATAAGACAAGGAATGGCTTCTTCCCCAGTTACTATAGTTAACCTATGCCAATCAGTTGCTATCAGCTGATACTTCAAACTGATGGGAATATACAATTGACACTTTGGCCAGAAGCAAGACAGCAGCAAGGAAGGGGTCTTTTGATTTCCCTGTATTTTTAATTCTTCAGGAGGGTCCCAGCATCAGGACCTATAATATCAGACTGCTGCATAAAGATGTGATCTAGTCTTCTGACAAATCACTCCAACGCCAACTTCGGACTTGTATAAGCTTTTGATATTTTCCAGCTCACGTGGAATATCCATCTGAATCGCCAAAAGTTCCATATTGGCAGGAATCGGGTTTGGTGGCTATTAGCTAATATAGAAGGAGCTATGGTTTGGGTTATAATGTGAAACTAACTCAAAGGTTTATTAAGTGTTTCTTTATTCTCTCTCTCTCTCTCTCTCTCTGTAATAAAAATGGGGTGGGTTTCCAAGTCAACCTTGTCTCAAGAATCCATTATCAGAGCCGGTATATGAACCCCAGAATGGTGTAGCACCAATGATAACATTAAATACTTTGCCTCAAATTATTTTTCATTTAAACATCTCTTACGCCTTTGTAGCTTCCAAAAATAGAGAGATTTGCTGCTTGATATACGGTTGCCTCAGTATGCTCCTTACACTGGGTCTCTCCTCTGGCTTTTTACTAAGCATTGTTCTTATCAGTTCTTTCAACTGAATGCTATAATCTTTTGGCATTGGTGGCAGCTGTTAAAAGAAGAACACAGAAGAAAAAAAAGAACACTTTTCATGAGCTTAAGGCATTTTCCTATTTTACTATGCATGTTAACCAAAGTTCTGGGAGCATCTTTCTGAAAGAGGCTGAAAAGCAGGGCTAGAACTCTAACAGGGTGTTGCAACTAATATCATTAAGAAATGTTATAATTGTCTAGAACTTTTTAAACATTTAATAAGATATTAATAGATAAGTGATTGTCATTCTGCTAAAAGCTTGGAAGAAATATTCCCAATGTGAAATTGGCTTGTTCTCAAGGTACACTAAATTTTCAAACAATTCAAACAGCTTTCAACGTTTGCCGCTCCTGTCACATGCACATAGACTGTTGTTTTTTCCCTGCCAAATAGCTGCTCCTACTTTTCTTCTTTCCTTCTCCTCTAGAATACATCACAACTGTAAGAGAACAGTCCCATTTCAAATGACATGTTAACAATTGAAACAGGAAACCATTTCCATTTAAATAACATTCTTTAGATCACAAAGCTCTCCATCTTCATTTCCTTATGAGATGCCCATATGACTTGGACGGATGGATGGATAAATGGACAGAAGTCAGCAGTAGCCAGCCTTACAAGGCAAACCAAGATGGTTGCTCCTACCAATTCTTCAACTGTTATGCGTATTATCCAACCTGAGTGTGGCAGGTAGAAATGTCTCAGCCATTTCTGACTTGTACATCTAATTAAACTGTATATCATTTCTGTACATGGCCATTAACTGTTCAAGGTATAAATGAAAAAGAGGTAGAATATAAAGTCGGTACTCTGTCTCTGTCTGTCTGTCTGTCTGTCTGTATGTGACGGAGTCATTTTCTTGGTTTTGGCTGATGTTTTTCTTTTCTTTTTATGATGCATGGCTGCTAAGTATTTTTGTTTCTACATTGTGTATTTTATGTATTGTATTTATTTTTTTTGTAAACTACCTGGGATATATGAGGCAAGCAACTATATAAATCAAATCGAAGAATGAAAATAAGTCATGATGTTGCTGTCTTTTGTTAGTATAACAATAATAATGTTTTATGGTGGTGCTGAACAACTGGTACTTATGAAGTTCCGGCCTTCCCAGCACATACATGGCATGTAATTGCGATCTGCACATCTGACAACCAACTGGCACTTACGAGAGTTGCAGCATCCCACAGTCATGTGATCACCATTTGCAACCTTCCCTGCCAGCTTCCCACAAGGAGAGTCAATGGGGGAGCCAACAGGGAAGTTCACAAGTCTCTGCCTTCCTGAAGCAACCACTCCCAGCCCCAACATGCTCAACCTAAATATTAGGCTGAAAATGTACCTTTCCTTCGATGATTCGATAAACCAGGGAATTCATGTCTTTAGCATTAAAAGCATGCTTCAGGGTAGTCATTTCATATGCACAGCAACCCAGGGCCCAAACATCAGACTGTAAAAGCAAACGAAGCACAATAATGTATTTTTGAAAAGCCATCCAGATAAAATCAAATGAAATACACATTGCTTCCCCAATCTATTTCACAAGTGCCCCATAAATCAAATATTTTAAAAGTCCTCTTATGTAGCAAATTGATCAAAGTTTGCTAGACATTGCTGTTAAAAGTTATTCTTTCTGTATGTCTGTCTGTCTGCCTATGACAATGCAGATTTTGAAAATCCTGATGTAGTTGCCATTCCAACATATCATATTGTCTATTTTTGTTTCCTCTAGATAACCTACGTATAGATGGAATCTTTTTTAATATAATTCACTAGATGTATTCACTAGAATTATGAAAATAATGTAATTTTTTAAAAATAGAATCATGATAGAAACATTTGAAATAAGTTGCAGGGAGTAGAAGAGGAAGAACATCAGGAAGATTCATTAGGAATTAACAAGTAGGACATGTTTCAAAATGTTGCAATATGGAACATTCAGTCTTCCAGATCTTCAATCTGTCCTTCTTCCAGAGTAGCCCATCCCATTCACGCTATCCAGCATTTTTTTCTTTTCCCTTCAAAAGACAATCAACATTCTAAATACTATGCATGTTAAATTTCCTTAGCAATTTCTGTCTTTGGGAATGTATTTGCTTTTTCTTTGTAAACTTTTTTCTTGTTCTGCTATAAGTTTGTAGTTTCACTATAAACAAGTATACTAGCCACAAGAATCCAGAAAACTCCAAAGATAGCAAAGAAATACACATTATTGGCTCTCCATATATTGGTTGTGTGAATGCTGGCAGCCCAGATATGATAAGTCTGACTGGTAATACCTCATCTCAAGAATAATGTAGACTGGTTACTTGAGGATAGATACCTAAGAGACTAAGTTCATTTATATGGTATATTTTTACCTTGTAACTGTAAGGCTTGTTAGAGAACAACTCAGGGCTCATATAGTAAGGAGTGCCAATTAGAGTACTAGCCATATCATGCTGATTTTCCAGCACTCTGGCTATTCCCAGATCTCCCACTTTGATAATATTAGAACGCGTCAGGAAAACATTTTGAGTTTTGAGATCTCTGTGCAGAATGTGCTTCTCGTGCAAATACTGAAAAATAAAATAGCAGAATTCACAAATCACATATCAAGTTTATTTTCCTGAATTACTGCATGAAAAAGAAACAATGATTTAATAGACTATGAGCTCCCTGCAGAAGGGAGGGAATACATTAAATAAATCTCTCAAGCTGGATAGCCATTATTACCAATCATAGTTTTGTTGACTCTGTAGATATTAATAAGATGATCAAAAGTACATCAAGAATATATTCATTATTTTCCATTCTAATTACAAATATCCATGGAAACTAGCAATAGGCTCCCTAGAACACATTAGATAAAACGATTAAAATCAATTCATGCTGAAATTCAGTGATGTCAGAACTGTCTGGTAAAGGGAAGTCGGGTACCTGCAGTGCCATAGCAATCTGAACAAGCCACTCTACCACTTGAGACTCAGGAAGAAGTTGTCCTTTCTGCTCTTTCAGTTTATGATATAAGTCCCCTCCTTCACAGAAGCCCATGACAATGTAAAGCAAGCCATCATCCCCTTCCCAGGACTCTCTATAGGTGACTATATTTGGATGCTTCAGTTGTGACAATAGCTGGGCCTCCTGCTCTGCTGCTTTTCTCTCACGGCTTGAGGCATGTTTCAAGTTCAGCCTTTTTATAACATACTGCAGAAATAGAAAGAAGGTTTAATCTTTTTTTAAAAAAAGGATATTACTGTAAATGAAAGAAATGTAAAGACCAACCATGTGGGGCCGTTTTGTACAAACTCGGCTAACACTATTAAAATTAAAACTATCACCTGAGAAAGGAGATGAGTTGCTTAAAATAAAAAAACCCTCCCACCTGCAAAAGCAACTTGCATGAGAGAGTAGAGAGGGATGCAAGAAGCAAATAAACTTGGAACTTTATAAAAAGGGATGGCAAAGTAGCCTGATAATAGAAGTGGTATTTCAACCTTTGACAGAACTCTCCCTGTAGCATTTTCCACCAACCATCGAGGCAGAAAATCCTCAAATGCAGTTTAAAATATAGATCAACATTTTCTCCTGATTACTGGACACCTCAGCATATGGGTTGCCTCTTCAGTCATGCTGGAAGTGTAAAATTGATAAGGGCACACTGAATGCTTATAATGAAGAGTTTTCACTGTTGCCCTTTTTGCTTTATTTGTTATTTGCTTTACAAGACCAGAAATCAATAAGTTTATAAAGATGTAAGTGAATTGTTTAATCATTTATCAAAATCTTGGAATCTCTGTATCAAGAATTATGGACTGGTTTTCTTCTCCTTTCATACATATCAATTTAATATACTAGACTCAAAATAAAAAAAAAATCCTGATTAGATTTTCAGATTATTTAAAGCTTTAATAAGATCTAATGTAGGTGTCGTCTAAAGATATATTTACTAATGTTCTGATCAAAAGCTGCTCTTGCAGGAAAAAGAACGGTTTGAGGGGATTCGCAGAAAAATTACGAGATTTGGAAAGAGTCCCTCTTCTCAGGATAAATCCTGATGAAGAATTGGATGGCGAGGATAGAAAGCGGGAGTGCTGTAGATCGGCATCAACCTACAAAAGAGCGGGGACACCATCGATAATAAATTTCAAAGCGAGAGGGAGGAAAGGATGGTCGATCCTATGTTCACACGGAGCAATGCCTGTTGCTGAAGGAAAGCCACCACTTCGTGGCGCGAAGTTGTTTTTGAATTCCCCTTTGGTGGGAGAGCAAAAGCAACCAGTGACTCGCACAGGCCCCTGTCCTCCATCCCCAACCGGCAAAGGCCTCCGGAGACAGGGAGGGAGAGAAGGAGGGCGAGCGAAAACGGGTGCAGAGGAAGCGTAGCGTTGTCCCCCCCATTCCCCGCAACACGTGTCCCGTGTCCCTCTCCCAACAACCCCCTTCCCCCAGCCCTCCTTACCTGTTTGCCGTCATGCCGGTGCCGCACCAGGCTCACTTCCCCGTAACTGCCCTTCCCCACAACCCGCACCAAAGTGTATTCGCCCAGGGGCATCTTCACGCGACCCCACACTCAAGTAGCCCGTTGAGAGCCGGGAGCGGGGGGGCTCCAGCAGCCCCCATCCACCCCTTGAGAGAACGCGGCTGCCGATGCCATAGAGATCACCAAACCTTGGGGTGCCATAGAGAGCACTACTTCCAGAACGTACAAAAGAAAGACGTCCTTCTAGTTTCTATGGTTAGTATTACCGATGCTTGAGCGACCATTTTGAACGCGGGCAAGTTTTCTTCGGCGCATGCGTTCAATCCTGTTATCTACAATATTTATACTGCTTGTCAGCCATTTTAGTTCCGGGCATTCTGGCTAGAGTTTTGAAATTGCAGGCATTTAAGCCGCCTGAGTTGTGACCGATCGTGCTCATTGCATTGGTAGGTTAGTGAGCGATGTTGCATGTCTAGACAGCTCAGTGCAAAGACCAGGCTCTCCGTGTATTATTTATAATTTGCAAGATATTACCATGAGATTCCAGTTTCTACAACACAAACAAAATATTCACAGTTCCATAAATGTAATTGCTGAGAAAGTAGATGCTTCAGTGAAGGTCATTAGCTTTTGTTAATATTATAGAACTAATTTTGAAATTTTGATTTTGGAGATTGTCTCTATTGATATTGCTTCTAGAGACAGGAATGCACCCAGATTACTGGTATATTAGCTTATTATTTCACTTAGTACCTAGCCAAACTGAATTTAAACTGCCAAGCTATATCCATCCTTCCACATTTAAACATCAGTTTCACCTGTCATAAGACTCACACAAAGCATTTTCAGGCAATGAAACATGGGAGACATCAATATTATCCCTAGTTTACGTGGCTGAAAGCTACATGGTCCTGTTGAGCCTGGCTGACAAATAAAAAGATCACTGACTGAACACAAGATATTAGAAGGGGACTGATGGCACCTTTTCCATCTAACCAATGTTATTCAAAGAAACAAGTTTGTTTGACTTGCAGTACACTTCATCAGATGTATTGAGTGGCTGCGCTGATGTAGGATTTAATTTGAGATTTAGCAGGGAGGGGGGGAAAGGAATTTGTTTATTTATTATTGAAAAATAGTTATAAAGTGATTATATAGCAACCCAGCATGTACCGAACTCTTGGCAGCTCAAACCAAGACATAAAACCACATTTGTGTACAATGAAAATATAAAAACCAAAAATATAGTTTACTTGCAAGACAGTACTAGTATCTTCTCAGTTAATATTGCAATGTGTTAGAAACCCATGGGATTTGTTGACACCTTTAAAGACTGCCTGATTTTTTTATATATATGTGAGTTCAGCCATCTGTTGCTCAATGTATATAAAAATAGAAGCAAACACCTGTATAAAAGTGTACTGCTGAAAAGTTATAGTCTTTTTCTTTCTTGTAGGCACTAAATGAGATGATTTACACTGAACAAGCTGATGTTGAGGAAATAACCAAAGCTCTCGAAGAGTAACAATACTTATTTGGAGAATATATTGATAAATTCTGGGCTTATCTCATCATTCAACAACTCCTAGAAGCATGGTAATGTAGGGCTTTTTCAACAGATTTATTATTTCTGGTTACTCCGGAGAAATCCATGAGGACCAGTAGAACCAATCACTTTCCATCCTTTTCATGAGAAAGATTATACTGTAGGGTTAAGATTAATAGTTTCTGTTTTAAAGATAAATTTAAAATCCAATCAAAAGAGATATGAAATATAGTTTCATTCAATAAAGCCTGGAATTGACTAGTAGCTATTCATCATTTTTGGCCTGGAATTGATCTGATCTTTTGGCCCAAGTTAAATTGCTTCAGATATTGTAATGCAAGGTAATTATTGCAGGTCTTCAAACTTCACATTAGATTTTGATAAGTTCAGTTTTAAGTCCCAGTCATTTCCTTCCCCTTGCAGGAGACAAGTCTTTTGTTAGGCTCATATTCTATTGATTTTATTATTTAGAATAATTGACAATATATATTTTATATTACAGAGTGGAAAAACTGAATAATTATCATGATTAAAATAGTTTCTAAATGTTTCTTGCTTTTAGTTCTGTAGTACAGGGTAATGCAAAGGAAAATATTATTGCTAAAGCCCTGGAGTTGTCTCTGAAATATAAGTGTGTGACTCCGTTAACGTCCATGATTGTCACAAAGCCAGAAGAGAATGAAGAAAAGGAAGACGTTGCTGACAAAACTATAGAAGGTACAGATATTGTCATCAGGACATCACTCTATATGGCTTTTAGGGGTTTGAGGTGAGCATTCCTAATATTCACATTTGAACGAGTCAAGATTATCCTGGAGCAACAGGTAGTATACTTTCCCCTTAGATCAGAATTCTGTGGTGTGTGCTTTTCAGCAGCATCTGCCACCAGGCCAAGAGGGATCAGATTGATGTCAGCAGCATCATGACATTGCAACACAAGCTCCACCACTTTTCCACATGCATTGTGATATTACATGTATTCTCCAAAGGAGAAGAACTTGAGAAGAACAATCTCACAATATGGCCTTTGTCATATTCTTTTCTTATTTTTTACATTTTAACTTAAATATTTTTTTTTTAAAAAAAACAAAACTATAGAAGAGATTCAAAAGTAATGGCTTGCTAGAGCAGTGTTTCCCAACCTTGGCATCTTCTCAATTTCCAGTGTTGGATTAAGGCTAAGGTCCATGTTACATAATGTTACCATGAATGTTCTTTCTATTGCCTTACAAAAATATACTAAATAGAAATTCTGCATCTTTCCATACTTTTTCTTCTTACATTCCTCTATTTCATTTTAAAAGGTGCACAAGCACAGAAATAAAATGATCCACTGATGGAAGCATAATTTTGGTGTAATTTCTTCTTTGCAGTTGATGGAGACCCACACTTTATCATAGCTGTGCCCCAGAAAGAAGATGCCCTTTGTTTCAATATTAATGAGGAGCCAGGGGTAGTGATAAATTTAATAAGAGATCCAGTTACAGGTAAGCCTTACTTTTCTGAAATCGCGATTGAAACCAAGAAAGATATGGCACTGCTAGATCAGTTCAATGTCTATCTAATTCCATTTGCTTTTTTGAGGTCTGTTTCCTTTGGATAAAGAATATGCAGATCATATTGTAACGTGTAAATTTGAGACTTGTTCTCCTAGATTCCATTTTCTTCATAATACCCAGGCTGACTATCAAAGCTTTTTAAGTTTGGACTGCTTATTATTTATATGGAATTAGGGGTTTTTCTGATCTTGATTAACTTTCTTGTTCTAGCATACAAACAACATACTCAGGGTTGTCTAGGCTTATCATGGCTTCTGCTGTATCCTAAAATACACTCACCATCAATATATCTGAAAATAGATTACAGGTAGTCCTTGACTTACAACAATTTGTTTAGTGACTGTGACTTATGACCATTTTTCACATTTATGACTGTTGCAGCATCCCCTTGATCATATGAACAAAATTTAGCTGCTTGGCAACTGGTCATATTAATGATGGCCGCAGTGTCTTGGGGTCACCTGTCACTCACTGCCTCTAATGATGTTACCTAGTCAGGTAATGAAATATCTGCAAGCAAACAAACTCGGAGAGCACTAAGGTCTCTATAGTTCAACCCTGAGATAGATAGATAGATAGATAGATAGATAGATAGATAGATAGATAGATAGATAGATAGATAGATAGATAGATAGATAGATAGATAGATAGGTAGGTAGGTAGGTAGGTAGGTAGGTAGGTAGATGATATATAGATAGATGATAGATAAATGATAGATAGATAGATAGATAGATAGATAGATAGATAGATAGATAGATAGATAGATAGATAGATAGATAGATAGATGATAGATATTGTCTTGTATTGAAAAACAAAAGTAGTCCATTTCCGCCCTTCACTTTCCTCATAGATCCATTAACCATTTTTGATTATTTTATACCATTTTAATTTCTGTATAAATTTTCTGTTATCTTCTCATATTTAATCTATAAGACCATCCCTTTATTATCAAGCTATTTTTATCTACTTTTGTACTTTGATAAAATGTTGATATTTGATAATACTAGCATGCATCAGGAAAACATTTAGAATTTTGAGAACTCTGTGCAGAACATGCTTCTCATACAAACACTGGGGAAAAAATAACAGAATTCACAAATTGTATACAGGTTTATTTTACTGAACATGAAAAAGAAACAATTATTTAACTATGAACTCCTTGTAGAGCAGGGGTGTAAAACTGCTGGCCCATGGGCCAAACACGTCACGTGGAAGCCGCGCCCATCCCATTGCCAGCAATGGAAAAATGGTCCTGATACGTTGTGCGACGTCACGTGACGTCACAAGTTTGACATGTCTGTTGTAGAGGGAAGGGACATTTTGAGTTTTGAGATATCTGTGCAAAATGTGCTTCTCGTGCAAATACTGAAAAATAAAATAGTAGGATTCACAAATCACATATCAAGTTTATTTTCCTGAATTACTGCATGAAAAAGAAACAATGATTTAATAGACTATGAGCTCCCTGCAGAAGGGAGGGAATACATTAAATAAATCTCTCAAGCTGGATAGCCATTATTACCAATCACAGTTTTGTTGACTCTGTAGATACTAATAAAATGTTCAAAAGTACATCAAGAATATATTCATTATTTTCTATGCTAATTACAAATATCCATGGAAACTAGCAATAGGCTCCCTAGAACACATTAGATAAAACGATTAAAATCAATTCATGCTGAAATTCAGTGATGTCAGAACTGTCTGGTAAAGGGAAGTCGGGTACCTGCAGTGCCATAGCAATCTGAACAAGCCACTCTACCACTTGAGACTCAGGAAGAAGTTGTCCCTTCTGCTCTTTCAGTTTATGATATAAGTCCCCTCCTTCACAGAAGCCCATGACAATGTAAAGCAAGCCATCATCCCCTTCCCAGGACTCTCTATAGGTGACTATATTTGGATGTTTCAGTTGTGACAATAGCTGGGCCTCCTGCTCTGCTGCTTTTCTCTCACGGCTTAAGTCACGTTTCAAGTTCAGCCTTTTGATAATGTATTGCGGAAACTGAAAAAGTTTTTCCCTCTTCTGATTCTTTTAAAAAAATATACTACTGTAAATGAAGAAATCTAAAGATCAACCATGTGGGGTGTTTTGTACAA